ACTGGGCTTCCTCCCGCGGCCTCGCACCCATCGCAGCTCGGGGGTGTGAACTTCTGACTGGTTTGCAAAGGCAATATTGGCCTTGGCTAGGCGGAGCTTATACTATCTCATGGCAGAGAGAGGGGAGGGTTGGCTGGGGGGGAAAAAAGGGAAGTTGGTTTATACTTTGGCTTTTTAAAACTTTCAGGTTCAGTTTCAGCTTGGTCATCGTTTCTTCGCTGCTGAAACAAATGCAGCACTCAATAAAAATACAATTGCTCACAGTCCTGATGAAGCTGGGGATTGCACGCTCTTCACAACTAACATGATGCAAAGTTATGTGCCTGTATGGGAAGTCGTCTGAAAAATACAACGTGGGTGCTCACCATATGGTCTGTGTTGTAAATAATATAACTTCCCTGTTCATTTGAAGTGCAGCTGTTAAACTGGAGGGAAAAAATAACGTTTGAATAATTCACTGATAATACTGTTATGGAAGGATGACAAACAAGGCTAGTCTGGTAACTTTCTTATTAATGTAGATGTCCTCACTCTTTAAGCTCACTACCAATTTCATATTAATGATTTGGTTTCAGTTATTTTAAGCCAATCCAAAGAAGTATAGAGTATTGGAAAGCTCACTTGACCTTAAGGGTGGAACAGGTGAATTGCATCTGAAGTAATAAATGGGTTTTCAGTAACTCTAAATCTTATTGCAGCTGCATTTGCCATGATTTTCTATAGTATTGATTTCTGTGCATCTTTAAGGTGCACTTCTGCAGATCACTTTCTGCTGTTTTCACTACAGCTGTTACACTCTTGTTACATTTACTAGTGGTTGTATCATTTTTGTTTATGTGAGTGCTTTTAAATCCTAACAGTAAAAAAACCAGGTTAGAAATACAGCTGACTTTAAATAAAATTAGGTATCTTTAAACATAATTGCCATGATAAATAAATATGTCCAAACTAATGCTTTTAAAACACTTACGTCATCAGAAGCTTATTGCTCTTTTGTGCAATGAGTTCAATTTTTTTCTTCTGTCTTGTATCAGGTTTCTAGTTCATTGCTTGTCTAGTAACTATAATAGTGTTCTATGGACTTGTGTCTTTGCCAGTTGTTGATTATCTGTGCCTGCCTAATGAACTTTCATGACTAGCCTTAGGTTTTTTTGGGCAGTTGCCTTTTAAGGCAATATCTTGATATAGTCTAATGACGTTGTTTAAATGTTTTAAAGAACTTGTTCACAATTTTGACACTTTTTAGCCTAGAACAATGGTTTAAACACTTTCTTTGATTTTATATATATAGCATTTCACTGAAGTTTTGGACCTCTCAGATGCATGGATTACCTTTAAGGAGATGCGTGTATGAATGTGTATATATGTTTATACATATTAAAAAATGAGAAGAATAAAGTCTATTGTCAATAGGTTTACCTTTCTTATACTGGCATCTGCATGTCCACTGGGAAATATTTGGGGAGGGTGGGGGAAGGATTCACTGTTGGTTTTGGCTTTGAGAGCAACCACTAGCAGGATTCCTGGAATGCGTTTTCTCCGTTAATGTAGTTAAAGAAGCTGAAAACTTGGAAGCTAGTTGTACTTTAAAAATGGAGGTAGATGTTTCCTTTGGCAATGGAGACCATTTGAACAGTTCCTGCACACCTCAAATCCATTCCCCCTTACTGCAACTTTGATTGCTCAGGCCACAGATTTTTCTGACCTCTCAGTCATGCCAGTAAAACTGTTAGTAGGCCAGGTTATTTTTAACCTACGCTGGTTCACGTCATAGGCCCATGAAAAGTTGTACTAGCACAACTGAGGAAGCAGTTGCAGGCACAGGGTGGGAACTCATTAGGCTGGCTTTGTTGCCAGGAAAAAAAGTCAGTGAAAGCTTGGCTTCAAATCATAGCATTGAAATAAAAAAATAGATTAAAAGATCTGAAATAATCTTGATACTTGCCTTTTAAAAGCTGCCATACATTTTGAGTCACTTTTTGAGAATACCTTAATATATACATCCTGATTCATAAAATGAAACGTCCATAAGAGGTGCCACCAGTTGGTGTAACTTTCTAAAAGTCCATGCCTATGTTATCAAATTACTTTTAACTGTATATAAAAAAAAAATCAGCTGCATTATAGCATAGCTGAGGTTATCACATGTATCTTGTTGAATTCTGCTAACATATAGATTGCTTGTGTCTGTTTTGTGTTTTTAATATAAATTACGTGTGTTCTCATTTGCATTCTCTGAGCACATTTTATAATTGATTACTTTTTTCCCTGAGGTCACATAAAACTTTTTTTTTAAATAAAAAAAACCAAACCTCGTATTTATATTGTCAGGTCCATGAAAAAAGTCTTTGAAAATAGTCTTTCATTTTGCCTTGACATCTAATAAACTTTGTTTCTGTGTTAGTAAAGAAAAGGCATTCTAAAGAACGTCCTTCTACAAAGGAGAGTCAGGCTTGATTCTCTTTCCAAGACCTGGCACGTGGCCCCTGTTGTCTCTTGTCAAGTGGAAATCGGCTTCATACTCTTCCTCTCTTCCTGCGACAAGAATCTAGTTTAGTGTCTTACTCTCTTCTTTCCTAGCATCATGTTTAACTTTGGCACCCTAAGCTGATGGTGGGAGGGAGGAAGGAAGGAGTATAGCTTTGCCACTTAATATTATCCCCAAGGCTTAGCGTGTAACACCAGCAGCCCCATTCTCATGCGCTTTAATGAAAGTAGGGGCACAATTCTGTCTGCTCCCCTGTGATAAGCTATTCCAGACTAATTATTTCTACAGTCCATCACCAAATCTAGCAGCTCATTACTCCTATCCTGAAATTGTCTTCTCTTGTTAGATATTAGACAGTTTCTCACTGTGTCTGTGCTGAAGACTCCCATTTCAAATGCTGTTGATAGATAATGAGGGGTATTCTTAGTTTTGTATAATTATACTTTCAAAAAAGAAGCTTGACCCAATGTTTAATATATATGTTGCTCTTGAAATATTTTTGGAAAGGAGAAAATCATGGGAAATTGTACAGAAAAATGTGTTGAATGAACACCCTCTTCATCTTACAAGATAAATCATTTAGTTTAAGAAATATCAGTTTATGATTATGAATGTAATCTTGATCTTGTCACCTTGTGTATAAGGTTTGATAGTCTTTAATGACATAGTCGTACAGATTAGTGCTGGTCTGATGCCCTGGCTATTAGGTTTAGGAAGTTAAACTGTCAGAGAACTATCACTGTATAATAGTGGGAGGACAAGCTTCCTTAACTAGTTTGCTTTGTCAGGTAAGTGTTGCATCAACACAAGAATGAGAGAAGTATTGGTAATGTTTTTTGTTTGCAGTGGCCTGGTAATAAGACTAGAAATATTCTTATGTTGATTGTGGCCTTCATGAAAGGAATTGTTGCTTGGATATTTTTCACTTTTTGTCAAAGCAGTCCAATGATGAATTGAATTTCAGGTACTTAATTGCTCATTAATTTAAAGGAGTTCCTGTATTGGCTGGAGTTACTATTGGGTCCCTCATGCAAAACTGTATTAGTTTCCCTTCCTGATTTACCAAAAAACAGAGACGTTGAATTTTGTCAAGCTCCAAGTCTCAGGCAAAGCAAACACTGTTGTACTGGGATCCTCCGGATCCTGGTTATTGCAGAGACAACCCTGTGGTTTTATGAAATTACTGGTCTTATTACAAATTAGATTATTGGTAGTGTGTGTAAAGAAATATAAAATTTTTTTATTTCCTGGATTGTTCAGAAATACTTTGAAGCTTGTGTTAGAGGATGAGAGAAGAAAGAGAAAAACTTCATTGGCCATCACTGTTTAATTAAAAAAACAAATAAAACCAGTTGTGATTAGAGATGCTGATTGTAATTTGGTTAATTCCAAAAGCTACATGTTTTCATTACTATTTTCATACATGACTGTTTTTTTCTTACTGCAAGTCCTAACTGATAATGAAAACACTGTGCAATGTGTTATGGGTATGGTTTTGGGTTTTTGTTGTTGTTGTGGGTTTTTTGTTTGAATTTTTTTTTGTGGGTGGTTTGTTTGTTTTTTGTTGTGTGGGTTTTGGGGAGGTTTGGTTTGGTTTTGTTGGGTTTTTAAGAAAATGTGACTATATGGGAAGCCCTGGCAAAATCTTGCAAAATTTGTGGGGCTGTGATTTGGGTGGGGTTTTGTTTGGTTTAGGTTTGGTTTTTTTAGATGCAAAGAGAATAAAGCTGTAACTAGTGTTTCAGTAACTCAGTTATGCCAGGTATATTACATGCTTCATAGTAGGGTCTTCACATTTCTTGTGAATCACTTTATCTGGAATAGGAGTATTTTTTAAAAGATACCTTTCACTGTGGTGTCAGAGGCTTCCTCTGATAGTTACTTGTGGATTATACAAAAATAGTTTAAATTATGTGGAGGATATCTTTGGTCTTCTATCATCTCTAATAGCAAAGATGAGAATTCAAATAATTATCAGAAAGGTGGTGTGGTATCGAGCTTTGAAGATCTTCAAAGATCTTCTATATCAGATCAGGTTCAAGCTGTATAGAACATCGTGGGGGGAGTGGGGAAGGAAGACCATTCTGTGGGAATTATTGTCAAGTGCAGTAATCTTTACTGAACAGTGAAACATTTTTCATGGAAGTACTGAATGTTTTGGTATGTGTGTTTTGTTTTTTACTGTCTAGTCTCAGGATGGCAGAATTATTTATGGAATGTGAAGAAGAGGAGCTAGAACCATGGCAAAAGAGAGTGAAAGAAGTGGAGGAGGATGATGATGATGATGATGAGCCAATCTTTGTTGGGGAAATCTCAAGCTCGAAGCCAACTAGTACATGTAAGATAATATTTTTCATAATTTAAAACAGATATTTGAAGGTGTAAAACTTCAAGTTTACTTTGAAAATACAGAATTTTTAACAGTAAGACTTAAGAAATTCTACATCTTAAAGCTGTTCTGTAGTTTGCTCTCATACTGAAAATTGGAATTCTTAAGAAATTCTGTCCTAAAACCTGGGTTATGCACAGCTGTGTCTACCTCTAACCTTAAATCTCTGAAGTCAAAACAAGGACGTTTGAATGTTTTGGCATTAACAATATGGTTAAAACACCAATATATATATAATGCTGAAACCATGCATGCAATTGCTCTTAAAATAGTTGATATTTAGTTAGATACTTGGAAGTGTCTCCCTACTAAAGTCATGTGCATGAATTTAAGTCTTCATGTTACAGTCCCTCTTTTTTCTCCACCCCACATTTCATGTGTTGGTGGACAGTCTGAATGGGTGGAAATCATTCTGACAAAACCAAGGTAACTGTCTTAAGTGTCTATAACAAAAGCACAATCAGGAAAAGTGATTAATGTGAAAATAGTAGAAGCCTGTCTGTTAAGTAAGAGATTTTTATTAATAAATTCATTCATCCCCTGTAAAATAAAGAGTTTTTTTCATCAAGTTCTGTAGTTTTCTCCTTAATGCAGGCAGTGCAGGGAGTGAGGTTAGGTGGTTGTGATGACAGCAGATGTGTCAGGATTCCATGTTTGTCCTGTGCTTGGGCTTTGGCAGGTAAGTAAAGGAGAACATTATTTTTGTTTATTTTTAAATTAATTTTAGTAATGAAACTTTTTTATTTCTGTATGCAGCCATCTTGTAGTCAATTTTTAAGAGGTTTGACCTAAGGTTTCTCTAGCTATTGAATAACAAGACTTTGCCTGGTGAGGTTTACTGCTTTCAGTTTCTGCCTCATCTCTGCTATGCTTGTATCCAAGATTTCCATAGTCATTTTCTGAAGGTGTATAGTTTGCAGTGAAGAATCTCAAGACACAATGTTAAATTAGGCTCTCTGTCACATTCTGCTGCATGGACTTTGGAGCTATTATTAGCTGTTCAGTCATTTTAGTTCACAATACTTTCATTTTGCATCTGAACTCTATTTTACTTTGTTACTCACTGGGATAGTAAGTCTAACGCTTCTTACACTAGCTTAAAAAAGTGGAAAATTATGTTTTAAATATTAAAGAAATACTGAAGCTGATGTTAAAGTTCTCTCACCTGAAAATACTTCTTAAGGGTTAATCTTTTTGAATATTTAAAAAATATTCTAGATCCTTTTCAAAATTTGAAGAATATTTAAAAATTACTCTAAGAAGTTTTCTGCAGTTACAAACTTCTAGACGGACTGAAAAATACCCTTACTGTTTTCAGGAAGGTCCAGAGACCTCTGGATTGCTGTTGGTCATTGGCAGTAGGTCGTGGCATAAAACAACTATTAAGACACTAAGCATATGTTGGAACAACAAATACGCTAAGTTTCATTGCAGTCGTTGTAGTCTCAAGGTTTTTTTGTAGTCATAAAGGATGGAAATAGTTCAGGTGAAAACTATAATTTTGATATGATTTAGCAACTTCAAGAACTTTGGTAAAAGATGGAGACTTACAATGTATGCATCTTATTCTAGTGCTGTCCATACATGGTCCTGACACAAGTAAAATCATTTATGGTGTAACTTTTTACTTTATCTCTTTTCCTTCCCTTTCCTCAACTTTTCTCTTTGTAATCTTCTACTTCACTATCAAAAACAGCTATGGAAGAATGACCTCAGTTCTTCTCTGGCTTGTAAGTAGTACTACCTGGCAGTAGTCAGGCTTCAGTTTGTTATTGGTGATAGGCAAGGCACAGTGAACTCAACTTAGCTTATCACAGTTGTTTAGTTTTTACCTGAGAAAATTCTTGTCTGATCAGATGAAAAATTTGATGACAAATGAAGATCCGTGTGTAGTTCTTAATTTTTCTGAGAAGTATGTTTTCTGCAATACATAGCAGGGTTTTTTTAACCTTTTCCTGACAATGCAATTATCAGTTTTTGTACAGACTGGTGTGGAAAACTTGAAGGAAATAGTTAAAAACCGAACTTTGACATGCTGGCACAGTGTCATGTACAATAAAGTGCCTCTTCTGATGTACTGGAGGATTAGTTTGACTCGGATGAAAAGTAATTCACACTTTGCATTTCCTGCAACTGCTCATTTTTCATACAGTTACTGCTCATTTTTCTTGCTTCCTTTTTCATAATGATACAAACCTGTAATTTGTTGCTACTTTAAAATGTTGTTCTACATGTTAGCTTTCTTATACTTCAGTGCTGTTTTACCTAAACAGGACAAATAATGCCTTGATGGAGGAGGGGAAAGGGCACATCAAGTCTATGATCAATCAGTTGAGTCATGTACATCTAGTTTATAATTTCAAATCACTGGCTTCCCGAAATGTTCTTTTTAAAAACAGTAAAATCTACCTTTGTATTTTAGGATGTGAATTGTGTGCTCATCAGACTGTCTGAAGCTGAATATGCTTTGTGAGACATAACTTTTAGGATAGCTTCTTTTTTGTAGGTAGATGAAGGCTGTAGTTTCATTTCACTCTGGAATTCAAATATAAGGTATAGATTTATTAACAAAAACAAGAAGTATGTGTTCAGCTAAATCCTGAATTAAGTTAATCCTTGCTCATAGTTAGTGTTGTGTTGAACTAAAAATAGTATTACTATTACAGGATAAAATTTCATCATACCTTAAAAAATGCAAACCTGTTTGGATCTGTTGGTTGCAGCTGCTTTTTTATTAGTATGATCTAAATGCAGGTGGCAGGTTGAAAGCTGTGATCTTCTGAGCGCTACTGCTATTAGATTTATTTATCAACCTGAGTAGTGTATATTAATGAGCCATTGCTGGTGGAAACAGCCTTACGGTTATTAAACACGATGTGTAGATACTCTAAGATCTATTGTTTGAGATCCTGATGTAATTTGACCCTGGTTTGAGAAGGTACTTTAAATCTTGTTGGTTAGATATTGGAGGATCGATCTAATTTCATATGCATATTTTCACATGTCAGAGCAAGAAACTTGACAGCAACACTAACAGAATTGAGAATCTGGCGGTAGAAGAATATTTTGGTTTGATGAATATTTTTGTAGCGTTCTGGAATGATCAGAAACCCCAGACTAAGACATAAAAAGTCGGGGAATATGGTGGCGTTAGTTAGGGAGTAAACATCAAATCTAAGAAATGCCATGTGTTTCTGATGAGCTAGAACTCTGGTCATAGACTACCATGTAGATATGTAAGAAAATCAGTCCTCTCGTAATGCAATTCCAACACAACTCCTTTGATTGTTGGTCTGTTGATTTTTCTGTCACATTGGAAAATGGAGATCATGAAGTCTAAAAAAAACTTTGTAAGTGCTGTATTTTCCTGTAATGCAGGAGGAAATTGTGTAGTTACTGGTTTAGAGAAAATGCTTCCTTTAGTGTAAAGCGGTTCTAGTATTTGGGGAACTTACTATGTATATGAGAAACAGAAGTGAATAAATGCACTATAATCAGCAAAGCTCAATATTTACGAAATGTTCTTTTTTTGTTTGCACTCTTATTTGTGTGTTAATCTATCTCCAAGAAAATAAAAACTGAGCTTCTTAGGTTAACTAGCTTAACCTAAGAGAAGAGGAGTAGAAGAACATATCTTAATTTGTACAAATGACACTTTGTTTTGCCAGGTATTTATTTTAGAAATAATATTCTAATTTATAAGTCAAATCCTAATTGGCTTAATAGTGGATATGAATGCTACTTTTAATTTGAAAAGCAATTAAGCTATTAATTTAACTGCAATTAAGATAAATGTAACTTTTGACAGATATATTGAACAGAGTCAACCTCAGCTCATCACGGAGGGGGATACAGAATGGTGCACCCAGTAGAGGTACTTTATTGTCCTAATATGGTAATTAAAAACAAAAAATCCACAACACTTATGAAACGTCTGACTGCAAAATTATCTAAAGATAACTTTGGAATCCTTTGCAACAGGTACAGTTACTACATTCAAGCCTGACAGTCACCATTATGCGACACCTGCCTCCAGCCCCAGTGCCATGCCTGTTTCATCAGTCTTTCAGTCTGTATCCAGACCTACAACTAGCTCTGTAGCAGTTCAGCCATTGTCTATACCAGTGAATGTTTCAGGAACTTCACAAACACTACAGAGACCAGTTGCTGGATGTTTATCAACACAGCAGATGCCTGGGTCAAGTTCTGGAATATCACAGCCTGTTAGCAGACCTGTAACCATTCCAGTGACGACACAGCCAGTATCAAGAAGTATCACGGTTCCTGTAGTGGCTCAACCTGTATCCAGGCCAGTGATGACTGTAACAGCACAGCCTGTAATACTCAATCAGGTAAATTTTTATTTCCTTAAACTGTAAAATACTCAGGTGTAATTACTTTTGAATAAATTAATGAGGAACATACTGACTCAGTCTAGTAATTTGAAGACCTGGACTAGATTATAGACTAGCATTACATAAACTGTAAAGATTCTAGGACCATAACCTTGCACTGGTGAACTAAAATCTATATTTGAAATACTGATTTGCAAGACTCAAAGATGATAGCTTTAGTAACAGTGGAATTACATTAAATGAAAATCTTAGGCATAAGAGAAATCAGTACTCTTTAGGTTATTCTCTTTAGGTCCTGTGGAGAAATGATGGAAATTACCATTCTCTAAATTTTGCAGATTTCTCTGCTCAGAGACGGATCCTCCATAATGATAAATTAATTTCATTTTTAAATAGCTTGCATTTAGTGTTTAAAGTAACTTTGTGGTTTTCCCACCTGATTTTTACAGTGCCTCTCTTGGCATTTTAGCTTCTTAAGAGAATGCTGTAGTGGTAGCTCCCTAGGTGTTTTTGCTTTTTGGTTCATGTGTCATTTGTAGTGAAACAGTAATATGGTAAGGAGGACTTAAGCAACCAACAGTTGCAGGGTCAGTAGATGAAACAATTCGACAACATACTTGTTTTGTTTGAAAAGCCCAATTATGCATATAGATCATATATCATAAATCTTCCTGGATTGCCACAGAACCTCAGAATGATAACTTTGGGGAGTCAAGTTGGATGCCTTTTTTATTGCCTTAGTTGTTGGACATTTGTGAGAGAGAAAGAATGAAGATTAAAATTTCCTATTTGTATGAGGTAAACTATGATGTGATACCTTTACTGAAAATAATATAAGCTGGAACTGTTTAGACAATGTGCCTGTAATATTAGCTACTATTGTCGGGTTAAAGTGAAGCCTGACAGTAGGCATCATCTTCATCGTCCGTGCAAATATACACACCTGCAGTTTTCTCAGCTGTCAGTGTTTTGGTATAAATATAAATCATGCAGCCTAATGTATTCTGCATTTGCTGGACAGGGGTATCAGTCTGAATGAGCATAGTTAATAAGGCCATTAAAACATGAGAATTAGGTGTTCTTCTTAAGACTTATGGCTAAATCATTGCCGATGGGGGGTTGTATTTTAAGAAAAACAATGCAATGGAATCATTGCCTATCAACTGGGTAGGTGAATCTCTAGCAGATTCATTAGGAAAGAACTCATACTTTCCAATTTTGAGTCTTCAGCAGTTGATTGATAGATTGCAGAGAGAAACTGTGGGCATGTCTGCTGAAGCGGGTTAGCTGAATCAGTCTGTCACTGTAACTAAGAAGGCCTAAAAAATGATATAATCGAAAGTCCAGATATCGGTAGGATATCTAGATTGCCTCTGGGGTTCACTTAAATCTGTCTTTATAAAGCAAGACAGTTTAATACAGAGATGTCTGCTACTTCACATAAGGTATACACATCTTTCAAGTCTGTGAATTTTATTTTTATGAATGTTTACTTATGACATAGTATGCTTTATTAAATCCTTCAAAGTAGTGGGATGTCTTGCAGAATCTTCACTGCAAAAGAAAGCCCCCTTCTTTTCTTCCCTCGCCCATACATGCTCATGTTTTTGTTCTAATAGATAAAGCTGCTAGTGGCCTGTACATTGTTTTTATTAGAAAAGCTTAGAGTAAACAGACTTGGGAAAGCTGAACTTCTCCAAAAAGTATATGTAAGCTGGACGTAACTCATCAAGACAGTGATTTTCTTTAAAGACACTATGCACACAGCACTTCTTTTTGTGAGGGTTCTTTCTCACTCATTGAGTTTACTTTCAACAGGAATGTTACAGATGAGACTTTAGTTAAGTTTTATTGTCTGGCTTTGCCAAAATCTGCAGGTTGTTGTTCTTCCCTGGCAGAGTAGAGAAACACCTATTTGAAGAAGTTGCAGCCTGAAATATGACTTTCAAGGTACACAGCATGGACTCTAACCATGTATTAGTCAGTTCTGTCTATTCCAAGTTAGACTGACATGCTTTAGAAAGTAATGCATCCTTTTCTGGGATATCCAGTGTATAGATATTCCACTGTTGAAATTCTCATATGTTATATGGGTTTTTTACCGTGTTGACATTTTGATCATGGCTTTCATGAGCTCTTAATTTTTTTCTAGGTTATCCTAAATGTAACATTCTATTCTTCGGATGTTAAATTCTTGAGTACCTTTAGGAAGATTTTTCTGGATTTTTTCCCCTTGCTTAAGACATGCTAAAAGTGAATCTTCCATCTCTTCAACTTAACTTTTCTAGGTTCGGAATTGTATTTCCAATTTTAGCCTTATCTAGAATAATTTGTTGTCTTGTTTTTTGTATTGTTCCTGCCACTTGATTATGTTTTTTTTTTTATGGGTAAAGAGGCTTGTTTGGTATGCTTTTTTTTAGTGAGGTACTATAGTTCAGCTTCTTGGGCAAAGTTCTGTGATTTTTAGTATCACACCTGCCACATCATGTCATTTGCTCTTCTTAGTGTCATATGTATACTACCTGTATTTTGGTTCATGTCCTTGGTTTGAATTGTCTTAATTCAAGAGCTCCTTAGGTTTTTTAGGTTCCCCCCTCCCCCTTGTCTAGTCTTTATTTCACTTGAGGCCCCTGTTTTATATTGATGATTTTCTGCCTTGGGCTTTCTGTGACATTTTCATTCACACATTTTCTGTTACTTCCCAACTTGATTCTTCTTAAGTGGCAAGGGCTTCAAATAAGTTTTTCTGGGAAATGTTTGATGTTTGGATCTTCAGCTTCCAGATGTTGAAACTTTACCTTTGAAATTAAAATATTGTGATGTGAAGATGACTGAGGTATGACTAGACACTGTGGCAGGACCCCTCTTTAGCTGAACATCCTTCAGAGTTCCTTTGCATTCTTAACATGGTGCAATATTTTTTAATCTCAGGATGTCAAAGTTTTTTCTGTGGGAACTGATTGCTTTTGATCACCAACTGGGTTGAAACACACATTTCCTCAATTTCATAACATGTAGGTCTGTAATTTACCTTTTGTCAATATTTGGTATTCCAGTTTTATCATTGAAATACCCCTTTCCAATCACAGGCTTGATTCACTGACTTCCTGTAAAAGTCTAGTTTTTGTGTTCTTGTTACTGCACTACGTTAATGCAGTTCCAAAAATTCTAAGTTGAATTTGGCTTCAGTGGTACTGTTTACAGCAATTCTAATTCACTCAGACTACTGCTGTTGTATATGATAGCATAGGGCTATCCTCCTTAAGAAAAATTTGTTCTTAGTGGTGAAGATCTTCTATAATTCAGTGCTCAGAATGCTCTCCAATAAGCCCCAGCCAATTCTGTCCATACCTTTCCCCTACTTAATAGGGACTTTCGTCAGTCTGAGTGTGATTCAGGTTCCAGTTGTTCCTAGTTAATTTTGGGAGAGGAAAGGTCCAATACCATGCATTGTAATTCCTCTGTGTGGATTTGGTTACCAATTATCATGTTGGTTTCCACAGTTAGGAAGTCTAGGATGCGTAATATGAACCCAGTATTTTCACTAGTCTCTTGGAAAACTAAGAGTGGTGGTGGATTTTTTTTTTCACTTGAGCCCTAGGAACTTAACTTATAAAGGTATTGGGTTTTGCCTTTCTGCATGTGAGAACACCTGTACATGTTATTTTGATTTCCCCCTCCCCCCCATTGATGTGGTAAAGCTGTTTTGGTTTTTTCTTTAAAATGTTTTTGCTTTCTAAAGCATGGGAAGATACTGTTTTTTTCTATATGTAAAATGACAGAACCAAATTGCAAGAAAGGAGTAATTGTAAACAGAAAAGGACATTTTGAAAATTATGAGACTTTGAATTTCCAGGATGTCTGTTCTTACTTTCTTACTCACCGGATATGTTTAGTATGTACTAGGGAGATGTACCTATGCCATCAAAATATCCAGGCTATTATTTTGAAGAAAGTTGAAATGTTAACAGCACTTACAAACAAACAAACCACAGCATAGTAAGAGAAGCAGGTTTTGTGTGCAGCTATTGTATTGGTCATATTTCAAATGTAGGTGGTATGCATAGTCCTTCACACTAAGAGTCTACCACAGGCTTACCACCTGAGCATTAGTTGTGTTTGACATGGGGTTTGCAGGCTAAGCTGCTTTGCTTGTAACTTCACTGGCCAGTCTGAAACTATTGTGGCTACAGCAACATCTGCTCTGTTGTGACTGCACATGTAGCTGTTACTCATAACAAATAGAGTAGAGAAATATAGTAACTATTTCCACAACTGCTCTTGAACATTTATGGTTAATTTGGTTAGGTTGGATTAGGTCACTCACCAGAAGAAAGAGTGGCTCTTCATTATTATTGAGGTCCTACAGGGTCTTCATTTAAGAGATGTACAACAAAAAGGCAGGATGGGGAGAAGCATCTTCCTTTTTGTTCAAATCTTTTCTGGTACTTAGGAGTCCTAAAATAGATTATCATACCTGTATGTGTACTTGTGCACTTTAAATATCGTTCCATCAAGTTTAGTCAACATGGTGGTAGTTAAAAATGTGGTAACTTCCACAGGGATGTTTTCAAATAAGTGGCACAATTGTGAATGGGAAGCATTTTGTGAGATTGATCTTTACAGCAAAAAGTATTTTGGCCTTTGTCTCATGGATGCACTGATGACAAAGTCGTGTATTGGGTGAATTTTTTTAATTAATTATTTATTTATTTATTTTAGGAAAATGGAGCTACTTTTGTCAAGTTTTTTGTTTCACAATACAGCTTGATGAAGTGCAATTGAATTGTTTCAGAGTAGAAAGATCAAGTGCCAATATTTTGCTGTTCATACTTTAATGTTGAAATTAAACCTAACTCTATAATAAAGATTTTTCTTAACTCCGTATTGCTATTGCTGAAAATATTTCATGTTCCAGATTGTTTGTGTTAGGATGAATAGCCTATTAAAATGTGAGCAGCATTGATGAATCTTGGAAAGTGTGTTTCTCCTGTATCACCCCTCAACCTTGAATATCTGTAAAGAGAACTAAATTTCATGTTTCTTTTCCCTCTGAATTTTACCTATTGAGTGATCAGTGAAGGTGTTTGGTTTTAACAGTTTTCAGTGTTGGAGCCAAGAAACGTGGACTATTTCATTTTTTAGGTTATATGTAGTACTAAAGGGCAAACCTCTTAAACTGAAGGGTAAGAGGATACCTGTACTTGGAGATGCTCAAAACTTAATGTAACAAGGCGCTGAGAAACATGAATCAACTTTTAGGTTAGCTGTGCTTTGAAAACAGGGTTTGATTATATTATTTCCAGAAGTCCTTATGAAATTACTCTACATAAAAGAAAAAAAACCCTTAGTGATATAATGAATTTGAGTGCCATTCCCAGTCAACATTCTACAGATAAACTTTTACTTTCATTAAAGCTTGACCACTTAGAATTTGATTGATTTAGTATCATCTTGCTTTGAGAAGCTCCTGCTTGCTGCAAGTTTGTGCTACTTTTGAGTTCGATTTTCTGATCTTTTAAAATGCAGCTAGCTGTTGTGCAAGAGTAACAGGCAAATGCCTGAGTTGGGATTGAAGGAAGAAAGTATTAGAATTTTTTGAAAAACAATTCAAGTATAATTTGAGACATCATCAGATTTTTGAACAAAAGCTGTTACAACTAGCAACTCAAACAGGTGTAGTAATATTTCATAAAATGGACTTTCCCAGGTCTTACAGTTGTTTTTACAATCCTGATACACAGCTAAGAATAAATTAACAACCACTGATAAGAGTTGCAAACTTACCAAAATGTCAAAAGAAACTATTTTGGGGAGATTGTAATTAACTTGATTTACAGCTGAGTACTTATGAGTACTTTTAAGCAATCATATGTTTTTAAAATAAACCCGTTGAAGCCTGCAAGTGAAAAATGTTAAACCTCAAATTTCTTTTCCCTCTTGAAAATATCTTATTAGGATTATATTATGGATTCTCCACCAGCTGCACCAGATAATACATCTGGTATACTGTTTGGTGTGAGACAGAACTCGGGAGTTCCACAGTACCAGACTGGGCCAGCAGTGAATGTAACAGGTGGGTATAACTGTAGTAGTTGATAAGAGAAAGAAAGAGTCTAATGTAATTTAATTGTAGCGCAGATCTTTGGGTTATAACTTTAAATAGGCTTTCTAGAACATAGTATAGCTACTTTTTTCTTCCCCTGTACATAACACTGTATAATGTTTAATGAAATAAACTTTGGAGCCTTGTGTTGTCAGGCTTTGCTTTTCAGCACATTAGACTGACTGTAATATCAACTGATGTCGTCTTATAATGCTCACTTAGATGGAAAAAAATATTGCCAGATCCACTGTAATTTTTTTGACCGATAAAGGCTCATTTTCAGTATATCCAGCACTCTTTGACGAGCATGAATAGGAATGGCTGTTAGCAAGAGAGGGGCTGTGAACAGTACCAGAAGAACTTTGAGTCTGCTGAGTGGATTCCCTGTGATGATGATCTTGGTTTCCTGACTGCTATATATAGGACTTGGAGTAGATGGGATCAATAGGATCCTGTCTGAAAACTAGGGGAAGAGAAAGAATATGTAGTTTGACAACTAAAGTATTTTTTTTCAACTAGCTAAATTGTGTTTCAGCAGAGACTATGTAACCTACTTAAAAACAAACAAAAAAGTGCCTTTTTTCTGTCACAGCAGATGAAGTAGATTTGAAGCGTGCAGTGTATTCAGTCTTAAACAGGCTATAACTTGGGACTTCCCTTCTCTTTTGTGAAGGATTGCACTTTTGTAGTAACTGACCAGAATCCTGTCATTCAGTCTGTAAGTTACAGATGACAATCAATTCTGATTCTTCCATGAGGTAATTGGTTAGTACAATGAATGGCCTCACCAGTCATACTAACAAGTTATGTAGAACAGAGTGATTGCTAGTTTATTCTGCTTGATGTGATGATTTTGCATCTCTAGTTTAGGCATTCACTCCAGATACTTACCAATGAAGGGTTGGTAGTGTATTTCATTGTACATGTCCAACTATTCTGTGATCATTCCTGTCTTATTGGGTTAAACAGCTTTTTGTAAAGTAAGCAAAGGTTTTATTTCTTGCAAATGGTTCAGCATTCCAGCCCTTGTTTTCCAAGGAACAGGTATTAAAGTTTAATTGTTTGTGGGTTTGTTTTGTTTGTGGGCTTTTTTTTTAATTTAGGAGACCTGCTTGCATATTTAAAAACTATTTGTAGTAGTCTCTTACTCAGAAAAATTAAATATTTGAAAGCATCAAGGATTGTCATTCAAAGTGTCTTAAATATAGCATACTTAGTCTATGTTTATTTCTGTAAGATGGCAATAGGATTTAGAAATTAAAAGGTTTATGATGGTGGGTTGAAACACAAGTATCTTTATGACACAGAAAGCAAATTTAAGGTAACATTTCACTTCACAAGAAGGAAGTGTCTGCATATTTTGTGGTTTGGCTTGCATGGTGAGGTCACGTAATGCGCTTACGTTCATGTTGTTCGTATGCGCCGATGCCTACTTGCCTGTGTTGGTGCTATGCTTCCTCTAATTCATATGCAGCACTGTGGGCACAAGACATTCTGGAATATGGTATTTAAAAGCAGAATCCTTTTGGGAACTTGCCTGTGATATTCCACAGGACAATTTAACTTCTGTACATGGATTGTTAAAGACATTTTTTAGCTCAATATAGCATAAATATTTATTTCTGAGGTCTAAGTAGGAAAATGACAAGCTGCTAATGGACACTAACCAACCATTTTGTTAGGTTGCTAAATAGGTGGTGGTGTTAAGTTAAACAGCATTGGTAACTCTCATCTGCAGGTTGGATGGGCACTGGGGATGTATGTAAAACTGTAGTTTGGCTTTCTGAGAATATTTTGGGATCACTCTCCCACAAACTTCACCCACTTGGAGGAACCAGAAAATGCCATAACCAATAGAAGAACTGTTCTGTGGTATTTAGGAATTGACTGGACTTATACATGTGTTCATAGCACTAGATTAATGGGAGATGTTGGTGAGGGACAATGCACCAGAGGCCTGAAATAATTTGGCTTTCATGTCCCTATTCTGTTAGTTGGATGCTTTTATTCTAGGTTACCATTTCTAATGTCTTTTGCCATCATTCATAAAATCAGGCCCAGCAAGCACAGATGCACATAAGTGTTAAGGATTTTACAGTGGTGATGTAATGAGAAACCTGTCAGCAAGGTGATACTGAATCCAGTACACTTTGCTCCTTCTTGCAATCATTTTAGATGTTGTACACAACAATACTGTGTGTATGAGTATAGCCAACTGTTTTGTAATAGCTACAAAATATTTACAGAAGTACTCACTAATAGCATGAAGTGAAGGTAATAGACTCCTGAGCAGCCTGAAAAACAAACAAGAATTGTTTGGCTGCTGCTTTTCTCTGCTCTCGAGTACTTGGAGTTCCTGACAGTTTTGGCTATGTGATCTGCTGGGTAGAGGATTGGACAAACTAGTCTGGAACACGGGTGATCCAAGGAATTCTTGTTTCCACGCACCAGTTGAGAGAGGCACTTTGGTGAAAAGAGGAATCACTCTGATTTATACTAGCTAGATATTAAATAATACTTGGAATTGGTTTGTTTATTTTTCAAAATAGGCTTTAATTTTTTTTTTAATGAACAAACAACAGAATTCAAATGCAAACCTATGTATATTCTCCTAGTATTATTATAATTCTTCTGAAAGAGGGAATTTATTAGATCAGAGTTGTATAAACTGAGTTAAGAATGCTCACCTTTATAAATAATGTAAAATAGTGTTCAAAGTTTTTGTCACAGATGTGTCAAGCTTTTTTAATTGAAATTATTACCAGTTTTGTTAACATGTAAAAGTAGTCCTTTTTTCCAAGTCAGGTTTTCTACAGTAAAATAAAATACTTTACTGAAGATTCTTGTAGAATCAGTCAGACCTTCTCTCTTTTCCCTGGCCCTCATTACACAACTACACTTAATTAAATATATAGCAGCAGTTCCTGCTGTAGGTTGATGGCCTGATGCTCGAATAACCTCAGTGATACAAAAGAATGCGAAAGTCATACCAGCTGTATGGAAGCCTTTGCTGATCAAGACACATATGTCAATGTAACCAGCTCATATATCGAACAGTGCAAGTATAAGTAAATTGAAAAATCCTGGGAAGTAGTAGTATCTAATGAATAAGCTGTTTATTTTGTGAATGTGTTAATTACCTTAGGCAAACAATGCATAGAGAGGGACGTTTAAGCTTAATATGTTATTTTATGTCAGAAAGAAGGAAAGGTGTGCTACAAAGGAGAACGTTAAGATGATTAAATATGTATATAACAAGTGAATTATGTTTTCCTGTATATGAGGCATAGTGCAATAAATTCTCCAAGATGCTTAAATATCAGCGTTCCCTGCTGGGATTCTTTGTTTCTGTGGATTGAATGGGAAGACTATCCAGACTGTTTGCTGGGTATAGATGGTTACCACTGAGTAAACACAACTTGGGGGTGGGAGGGGGTTGTTTTGTTTCTTCTCAGAAGAAGTTTGAATAATTTTTTGTGATGCAAGTTATCTCTGTTTGTTGAGAAGACTTTTAAAGATACTAATTCGGTTTCTTACTACACCCAAAGAAATCATTGGAGCAGCTAGACTGTTGGGAGGGGAATATACAAGCATGTCCTTAATTCAGATAATTGTGTCCGGAACTGAAGTCCAGTCCCTCTCATATTTTATCATAGTCTTAAGGCTATTTGCAGTCTATGATTGTGAGAGATTTACAAGGCCTGTGCTGGCACTTCAGACTTCTTGGTATGTAGCTGTGCTCTCTCAGGTCCTGCTTGAGGACTGCTATCTACATTGAGATTACATTGTCAAGGGTAATCTTACAGTGACAGAGACACGGGTTTCAGGACAAGATGAGCCAAGTATTGATGGGCATGTTAATCAGGCACTGAACCTCTGCATTTCTGAGTTATGTTTTAGTGATTTTCTTTTTTTAGAAGAAATACTGCAAAAAATAAGTGAATCAACTGTTCTTTCAGAAGAGAGCAAATAGGTGTGCTGTGATTGGTCATTAGAAGTTACAACACTGTTTTCATTTTGCAGACAAACTGAAGTCTCAAATGTTTTACAGAGTTAAATAACAAACTAAACCAACATTAACATAGGACCAGAAAAAAGGAGAGATGTTTTTCATCAGAAGGGCAGAGGTTGTTCCAAATAGTGGGCACTGCAGAAACTAGCTGCTTAGCTTAACTTTATTACTGTGAACTCACCTTGTCTCAGATTAGTGTGGGTCAAGATGTGAAAAGTAGGCCAAATAAATTCAGGTGGTCATAGCATGATTTACTGGATTTCAGGGATGGGGCTGTGTCTTTTTGCATTTACCCTTTCCTTCTCCACTGGCCTTAGAATATTCAGTCTGAGTTGGATATTGTTTTCTTAACTTCTGTATGGCTTATTATTTTAGGGAAATCTTAACTGCTTTGTGTAGACTTGTCCATCCGTTAAAGTATAGGCATCAGAAATGTGTTCGTAATATACTATGGAAAAAAACTGAGGTTCTTTAATTTAAACCACTGTAGGTCTGAATGAGAGTGGTTTTGTATCTAAGCGTCCTGCTACTTCTGAAGGCAACAGTGTAACTCCAAAAAAGGCCAAGCCTAATGAGGTTGGTGCTGGAAGCAATTCAGCTGTTTCACCTACAGTTAACTCTCCAACAGTAACACCATCACAAAATGTATCTTCAAAAGGTAGGGTAGATCAAATGGTCTAGCTGTCAATCCATGCATCTGTTTCATGGAAAAAGCTAGCACTCTTGTAATGTTTAAGTTAATTGGTATTATTAATGCTATTAAGGCAGTGTAAATAAGTAAACTCTGTTCTTATGCCTTAAAATAAGAAAAACCTTTCCATGCAAGGATTTATGTACCTGTGAAGACAGATGATCAAAATAAATGCCCCTGACCTCATATGCTTAGTTCAGGTTTTCTATGTCAAAGAATTGAATAGAGTTGAAACTTTAAAAAACAACCAACCGGACAATCAAGATTGAAAAAATTCTGTGACTGCTGAATTTATCAACTAATTCTGATTAGATAAAAGGAAGAAAAAAAAAAAATCAGTGTAGGAATGTCAGGCAAGGCAGCAAGGACTCAGGTTGTGGAATCTCCATCCTTGGAGATACTCAGAAGTTGACTGGGTACGGCTCTGAGCATCCTGATAAGGTTGGACTTGCTTTGAGTGGGAGGTTGGACAAAAACACCTCCGCAGATCCAACCTAAATTATTCTGTGATTCTGTACTTTGACTAACTATTGCAAAGTGTGTTTTGCAGTTCCCCCCTTTCTTTTGCAGCAGTGTTTTTGATACAGTTTAAAATAATAGTGGGAAAGGAGGAGGGGGATCTAAGTTTCAAAGAGAGGATGTTCTTTGGAAGACCTTTCCCTCCCTACAAGAGAGGTGGTCTGGCTGTTTCAGCATATTAATGATTAGGTGCATTTTCCTCCTGAGCCAAAAGGTGCTTTCCAGTTGATTGCAATAGGCGAGGATTTATTCCTGACTTTGAGATATTTCCAACCACATACTCTCTCCTATAATGTTAAAATGAGGAGCTACCTACAGTGTGATTCTGTTCTTTGGAATCATTTCATATTTGGGTTTTTTGCATGTCTTGTTTGCAGCTGGTTTGCTATCACACTCTTCCCCAGCAACCAGAAGGAAGTGGCTATAACATGGAATATTGTAGCAAAAAATTTTCCTCCACCCTGTGTTGGGTAAAACAGATACTGTGCTGCAGCCTATAATATACAAAAGATAACTTGGAGGATCTTATAAATGCAGTAACAAAGGAGTAGATCATATTTTACTGAGAATCTTATTTTTGAGTTTGTCTCTAAGCTGTCCCATGCTAGCATAGTGATTTCTAATCTGTCACAGAATCCAGTACAGAAGCACCGCAGAACACTAGATCTTGCCGCAGAACCTGTTTTCTTCCAACTCAGCTCGCACTTCGCTGTGACGTGTCAAAATATTTTACAAACTGTAATAGCGAAGACTTGCAGCACTGTTTTGCGGTACATCTCTTGCATGGCCATCCACTCATGTGAAGGACTTTCTGCTTAATTATGATCCTTAGCAATACTGTTATCTTCAAGGAAAAATACTGTTTGATCCATGTCTACCCCATGGACTATGCAAGACTATTTTTGTGAAAAAATGTGTAACACTGTTGCATGGTCAACTCTTAACTCATACACTTACTCATTCCCTTGTTATAAGGTGAATGTATTTGTGTGTTTATTTTTATTACACTTTTTCATAGCCCTGGCAGGGTACAGTTGACTCTACAGTTGAGATGTTGAGACGTTACTTAAAACTCTTCCTGTGTTTAACCTCTTCTTCTAAACTACTTACTCAGCATGGCGTCCTGCAGATCTGTGAATGACTTGAGAATGCAAGAGAACTTCATCTGGAAAAGTAGCTCTTGCTCCAATGTTTTTTGGCAGTTTGGAGAAAACTGGAAGCCTGGGTTTATTCACTGAAGTTTAAGCTAATGCAAAGGTTTTTTGTTTTTGCTCAAAAGGTATTGATCATTTTATGTTGATAAGAGAAATACTATTTCCTTTCATTACTGGGAGTAATCATTTAGAGGATTTATTCTCCAGGTTCTCCAAAGACACCTTTGCTCAACAGGAATGATGCATCTGAATAGGCCTAGGTTCCAACAACTATCCAGAGAGAAATATTCTCATCATTGAGAACCAGAGGGTGAAATTCCTTTCCAAAACCAGTTATCTGAACCCTATTGTGATGATGATCAGGTCATGGCATAAAACAGGTTTTACATGTTCATATGAAAATTAAAGTTCTTAAAACAAAAACATCAAAAATCTGTCCTATCCGGGGAGCTGGGGGGTGGTGGTGCACAGAATTAGTGCTTAGTCTCTATCATGCTACCTTCACCCCCTCCCATTTTATCTTTATTTGTTGCTAAGATTTTGTAAAAGTTGTTTATAGGTCTATATCAAACAGAACAAATTCAAACTCCGTTTGGAAAAGAGGAAGGGTAGTTAAAAGATGGTTGTAAAACCTTGCTTATGGTTACTACAACTACATGAATTGTAATAGTTTTCGTTTGAAATAGCATATTTTGCTAGAAAAATAATAAATAGAGTATTCTGCTTGTGAATTCTGAATCTTAACGTATTTTAAATTTTACAGGTACAAATGCTGCATCAAGCACCATTAAAAATGGAGGACCTTTTCCACGAGCTTGTCCGAAGTGCAATATTCATTTCAATCTTATGGATCCTCTAAAAAATCATATGAAGGTAAAATATTTTGGGGCTGGTAAACATTATAACAAACTTATGTGGCCTTCTGTTTGGTCATGGAAGAGTGCAATGTTTTGATATGAAGATAGTCTGGCTTCTGGCTATGATCAACAGACCCTAAATGCTCAATGACTTGCAGTCATGGAGAGGAAGAATGGAGTAGGGGAGTTCTAAATCTTGCCACTTTTTGCCTTATTTTTCCAATGAATTGAGGCATATTTGCTGTCTGTGTATGATTTCTCTCTGCCACAGCTGTGACTTCTTGAACCATTGGCCAGATTCAGGTGAATTTGATGAAGGTAAGTGCCTGTGATAATAGGCAGCCGGTTGACTCACATCTGTGTTAGATGGCTACTGAGACAAAGATGACAGTGTAAACTTACCTTTTTATCTTGATATATCATTTGGTAGCTAAAAAAGTTGTTAAGCTGAGGGGAAAAACTTAATTTGTAGTTCGTGCACTTAAATGCTGTGAGAAACAAAACTTTCAGAAACCAAGCATCACTTAGTCTGCTTATGAAACTGCTTGTTGTTGTTTCTGGAAACATTGTTTCCTGGGAAATATTTATTATTATTTAGCAAAGATTCATGCAATTCTCAGGCATATGTATTCCATTTTAGGTGGCAGAGAAATGGCTTTGCACTCTATACAATTTAATAACCCATGCAAAAAGGAGTATGAACTACTGTGTAATAGAAGTCCGTGAGGCTCTGAGTTACTGTTAACACAGATCATTCTGATTTACTGGGCTTAAGATAGCCTAAATGGTAGCTACTGTCCTTTTCAGGTTCAAAACACAATTAAGAAACATACGTAACAGTTGGAAAAAATCAAGGCTTTTATCTTTCTCTAATCATTATCTGTAGAGAATAGCTTTTGCACTGAGTACATGGACCGAATGAAACAACCATTGAAGAATTGGGTTTACTTAGTATTATTTATTTAAATTTTTAGTTAAACTGTATGGGATAAATATATGGAGTTACACTTCCACAGCAGGAAATGAAGTTTCCTTACTAGTAGGCTTATAGAAAGTAGTCCTGCACAATAAGAACCATTATTCAGCA